AAGAAATGAATTTTATAATTGTCAACATAGTGATAGACAACGAGGATGGGTCAGCACGTGCACATCCATTGAATTAAATGCAGCATTGGACGAAGGATATATTGTCACCAAAATATATCGTGTATTAGAATATAAACAGTCAGACAACGAGCTTTTCCGTCCATACATGCGGGAATTTCTTGCCCATAAAATCCACGCTTCCGGTTTTGATGAAAAGATAAGAGGAAATAGTGAAGAAGAAGAGAAATTTGTGAAAGAATGTTGGGAAATGTTTGGAATGAAGATAGAAAGGGAAAAGATGGTACCAAATAAAGGAAAGAGGGCAATTGCAAAACTGGCTGTAAATAACCTTTGGGGGCGTTTTTCACTAAGAAATCAGGGATTTACTCAAACTCACATCACCGACGATCTAGCTGAACTCGGGGAATACATTCACAACAATTCAATAGAAGTTGCAGCAATTGAAGAATTAAACAGTGAAACATTGATGATACGCTATTCAAAGAAGAAGGAATGGATAGAAGAACATGATAGCTCAAATGTGGTGATTTCGTTATGGACAACCTCCGCCGCACGCTTGCACCTCCTGAAGTTGATGCAAAAAGTGGTACGAACACCTGGGTGTTCACTACTTTACACTGGTATTTTTTCTTAATCTTTATTCAAAATTTATTTTTATTCTTCAGACACCGACTCTTTGATTTTCGCCTACCCCGAGGACAACAATCCACTAGAACTCGGGCCACATCTTGGCGACCTGACAGACGAATACCCACAGCACGAAATTCTTGAATATTGCAGTGGTGGCGCAAAACAATATGGATTGAAATTGAGAAGAAAGAATGGAAATGACGACTATGAATATGTTCTAAAGGTGAGGGGAATGACACTTAATTATGACGTTATGAATAACCAAAATCTAAGATATGAAACTTTTAAAGATACTGTTATTAATTTTGTTAAGAATGGTGATCGTGACCCTATATGTGTAATCTACCCCAACTTTTTACGCCCTTCTGTTGTAAATAGTTCTGTTACTTCACAACCCTTTCATAAAATGTATAAGCCTTTTGTCGGCAAGGGCATCATTCGCCCGAGCGATTTCTCTGTATTAAATTTTGGCTATGTATCACAATAATCTTTAATTTTTATATTGTATTCTCTATCTATTTTACCTTATATTGTCTCTATCTATTTTGAATTATATTTTTATTTACTATTTTTCTTAGCGATTTATTCTATTGTTTAACTTTATTTAAAAAATTTTTCGAATATTTCATAATATTTATTTATTTTTAAATAAAAATTTTACAAATGGAAAATACTTTTTTGAAAAAATTAAGGAATAGAAAATACTTTTTTGAAAAAATTAAGGAATGGAAAATACTTTTTTGAAAAAATTAAGGAATCGAAAATACCTATTTTAGGGGTAAAAACACATAATTAGTGAATAGAAGATACTATTTTGAAAAAATTAAGGATTAGAAGATACTATTTCGAAAAAATTAAGGAAGAGAAGATACTATTTTGAAAAAATTAAGAAATAGAAGATAAAAATTAAATTTAAGAAATCAAAATTAAGAAAAAGGAAATACTATTATGAAAAAATTAACAAGTGGAAGATATCAATTTTAGGGGTAAAAAAGCATAATTAGCGAAGAGAAGATACAATTTTGAAAAAATTAAGGAAAAGAAGATGAATTTTACTGTATTTTGTGTTTTTTAGTAAAAAATAGGCAAAAAGTGGTAAAAAATGCATAAATGCACGTGTTTTACATGCGCATGTTTTTTGTATGCGCGTGTTTTGCATGCGCGAACCTTGTGGATATAATCTAAGCCATTGATTAATACTAGTCTTATCCGAGTTGAAATCGAGAAGAAAAATGGAAACCAGCAAGAAGTATAAATTTTAACCATACCTAAACTTAACCATATATATTTAAAAAATTTATAAGTATAGAACCTATTTTTGTATACTATTTACACCGCATTTAAGGAAAATATAAATAATAATAAAAAAATATATATAATAATACCTTATGACTTTTCATAAAAATATAAACTTCAAGTTGGCAAGGTATCTTACACCTATAGATTAATTACCTAACTCTTGATTAGCTAACTTAGTTAACAATGTTGCCTTAATTATGTTATTGTATCATTACACGTTAGTCCAATAAATCTTCAAAATTTCATAATATTTATTTATTTTTAAATAAAAATTAACAATTGGAAAATACTTTTTTGAAAAAATTAAGGAATGGAAAATACTTTTTTGAAAAAATTAAGGAATGGAAGCTATCGATTTTAGGGGTAAAAACACATAATTAGTGAATAGAAGATACAATTTTAAAAAAATTAGTGATTAGAAGATACTATTTTGAAAAAATTAAGGAAAAGAAGATACAAATTTAATTTTAGAAAGCAAAATTAAGAAAAGGGAAATACTATTTTGAAAAAATTAACAATTGGAAGATATCGATTTTAGGGGTAAAAAAGCATAATTAGTGGATAGAAGATACAATTTTGAAAAAATTAAAGAAAAAAAGATAAAATTTAATGTTTTTTGGTGTTTTTTAGTAAAAAATAGACAAAAAAGTGGTAAAAATGTATATATGCGCGTGTATATTGTATGCGCGTGTATTTCCTACGTGTATAAAATCACCATCCTTGCATGTATTCAAAATCATCTACCGATTGACTAAATTTTCTTCCTTCATAACAAAGATTATCATCGTAGTCGGAAAGAGGTACAGGTGATGTTACATCAAAATCTTTTTCAGATTGAACAGTATACAGATTACAAAAATAATGGTATCAAATCCACAAACGAATCAAGTGTTCAAAGGGTGTCTATCGTGTGACCAACTTCCCGACTACTCTTCAATACAATACCCTTCAGCATTTATTTTAAACTTGGACCCCCAAAATTTAGAAGGATCTCACTGGGTGGCAATATATGCAGAAGGAAAGGAAAGAACAATTAATTATTTCGATAGCTTAACTCTTTTTAATATTCAAAAACCCAAAGATGGATGTAAAATTAATAATTTCCTACGTCATTTTCCATATATACTTAGAAATTGTAAACCTTACCAATCCCCCTTAGCCAAAACATGTGCCCACCACTGTATATGTTTTATATTTTTCCTTTCTCAAAATTGTACATTTAATGAATATATTAATATGTTAGACAGAGAAACTAATCCAGATTTATTTGTTAAAAAATTTGTAGATAAAATGATTAAATATTTTTTTTTTGCTCTTCCATTTATTACCAAGGAAATGCCTACATATAGTAAAAGGATATGCAGCCGCATCCAAATGCCATACGATAATTGGTCATTAAGAGGGCGTGGCTTAAAACGAAAATAAGAGTAACATGTAACGAAAAAATATTCTCAGTAAAGAAACATCATCATTTTAATTTTATTCGACAATTTTTATTTATATATTTTAAAAATTTTTTTTATTAATAATGAACCGATTTACCCCTCTTTATTTCCTTCAAACATTACACAATTTTCCCTCGTATTTTTCTTTTTTCTTCCCTAAATCTTTTAATATATATAGAATTTTACATCTATCCATAGGATTAATCTATCCACATGAATAATGATATCTATCCATAGGAATAAGATCATACATATCAATTCTTATTCACTAAAATCATTACTAAAATTTCTATGCATAGAATAAGGTCATATAAATTAATTTCCCTTCTATTAAAATTTTTAGTTAAGTTTATTTTTTCTAAAAATTCTCAAGAAAATAAAAATCTTGGTACCTCATTCCCTTTTTGCTACGTGAAATGATTTCTATGGTGTAAAAAATTTTTTATAATTAGCAACTAATTTCCTGCGTTTTATAATATTCATTCCTTATATTTCATAAAATTTCTAGAATTTGGAAAAAATCGATAATTTGCAATAAATTCTCTATTTAAAATTTTCCCATAATAATCCTACCTGCTCTTTCTCCTTTAGCACTCACCTCCATCTTTAGGACCCTCCTTTACCCTTTAGAAATCATTTCAATCGAAACTTTTTATCCCGTTCATAAATAGTTTCCATCAATTTTCAACATTCATTCATCAATTTTTATAAAATTTTCCAAATTTTAGAAAAAATCAATAACTGTTTATTTTTCTAAATAATTCTCAAGAAAAAAAATCTTGTTACTCACTCCCTTTTTGCTATATGAAATGATTTCTATGGGATAAAAAATTTTTATAAAATAATTTCCTGGTTTTATAACATTTATTCCTTATTTTCATAAAATTTTCAGAATTTAGACAAAATCGATAATTTGCAATAAATTCTCTGCTTAAAATTTTCCCAGAATTAAAATCCTGCCAACTCTTTCTACTCTAGTATCGACTTCCATCGTTAGTCCCTCCATTCCCCTTTAGAAATCATTTCATTGTGCAGAAACTTTTTATACCGTTTATAAATAATTTCCATCATTTTTCAACATTCATTCATCAATTTTCATAAAATTTCCAAACATAGAAAAAATCAATAATATTATTCTCTTCTTTTTAATTAAATAATATAATTACAGATTTAGAATCATAATTTTAAATATCTCGATTTTCACTTATTATTAATAATGAGTCCTCCACCAACCAAACGTGCAAAGCTTTCATCGGAAAATTCTCGCGCATTTTTTATTGAAAATATTCTTTCTTCAATTATTTCTTCACAAAATTCAATTGATTTACCTCAAGTCGGCCAAGGACATCCAGAAAAATACGTCACAAAATTGGAACAACAAGTTATTCACAATAGAAAATTCCGCTACACTAAATGCCACACGAAATTCCAAATTAAGGATGTCCCCGCAGACCCCGAAGGGCTGCTCGCTGGTATATTCCATCATTGTATTGACACAGCAATTGAAGAAAGTCGTGAGAAGGGATATGAGGCAGATCATTTAGGATGTATTATTAGCAGCGAATTACTTGAACATGATGTATGGACCCCTATTAGACAACTTAATGACAACACTGTCGATTCAATTTTAAATCAGTTCCTAAAAGTTGGTCAAAGTAAAAAACAACAAGGAACAACACTGTGGGGAAAACCCTTTGATGTAAAAATAACTACACTTGATATGAAAAATTTACCAGAAAGACAAAAAACACTTGGAGGTCGAAAAAACGCTACTACACATCACCGAATTAATAATCAATGTTTGATTAAGGTAGGATAATAAAAGTATAATTTAAATATAAAATATCCTTTAGATCAATAACATTGACGGCAAAAATCATTGCCTTTTCTTTGCATTACAAGCAACTCTTGTTAGCAACATAGGAGAACTTTCCCGCTCCCAATTTTACAATTACTTACATGGTCGTTATGGATCTAGAAATAAATTTAAGAAGGAAACCTACGAGTTAATTAAAGAAGTTGGAGCTACATTTGGTTTAAAAGAATATGCGGCAGAGGACTGGGTTGGTCCAGTTGTTGATTATTGGAACAACAAATATAATGGAAAATTTACATTCAAAGTCTTTATTTTTGGATCATCTGGGAATTACAAGCCAAAGTATAAATATGGCCCAGAAATTTATGATACGCCGATAATTCTTTATTACGACAACAAGCATTTTGATGGTGTTCAAAAAGTTGGGAATATATTTGGTCAGCCTTATTGTCTTTCATGTGAAGTGGTTTACAGTCATCCTCAAGCCCACAGTACTAAATGTTGTTCCCGCTGCTTAAAATGTTCTCAAATTGGTCCAAATTTCCCTTGCAAAAAAGAAAATTTTTACAGGTAGCCTTATCTAGTTCTTATCAATAAATTTTTAATTATTCAGAAAATGCAAAGATTGTTGCAAAGTATTTGAAAATATCGATTGCTTCTTACATCATTTAAATAGCGGATTTTGCAAAAATTCTAAGCAATGTGATAAATGTGGTGAAATTTACAACTTTTATGACAACAACAAAAATGGTCGCAAAGGGCATGTCTGTTTTGAAAAATATTGCGGGAAATGCGGGGATTACCATGATCCAAAAAGAGGATGCTACATAAGACCACTAAAACCCAAGCAACGAGATCCATATCGATTAGTGGCATTTGACTTAGAGACAATGCAGCACAAAATTACAAATCCAGCTAAACAACAGAGAATTCACGAGACCAACTTTATTGCAGCAAAGATAGTATGCCCGAAATGTATTACAACAGGGGAATGGAAACAAAGTTTAAAAAATAAAATTTGCAAAGTCTGCGGCCCCCACCGCACTATTACATTTTCACAACAGCCTTACAACGATACAAATACAGATCACAAAATTATTTCACAAAATCCTCTAGAAGCTTTTGCCCTATGGATATTATACGACCTTCCAAACAACTACGACACATACGTCTACTCCCACTTTGGTGGACGTTTCGATATGGTTCTCGTCTTTGAAAAATTATACAACCAAAATTTAAATCCTGAATTAATTATGAAAGGCAACAAACTTTATGAAATGAAAGTAGCGAAGCGACCAAATTCGAATCCAAACATTGTATTTCGTGACTCCTATAATTTAATGCCTATGGCTCTAGCAGCATTGGTCCCAACATTTGGCTTAGAAGTAGAAGACAAGCCATTTTTCCCGCATTTATCAAACCGACCAGAGAACTATGGAAAAAGAATATTCCCAACAAAAGAAGATTATTTGGCTGATGGAATGATGCCCGCCAAAAGAAGAGAATTTGATATTTGGTATGAAGAAAATAAAAACACTCCCTTCCTGTTGGATGAAGCGCTGGCAAGCTACTGTACTAATGATGTTGAAATATTAATGTGTGCGCTTATCGCCTTTAGAAATGAATTTTTTGAAACAACAAAGAGAGCATCTCACAATGGAATTGATGCTTTGAGGGAGTGTATGACTATTGCAAGTGCGTGTATGAAGCATTTCCGCACCAATCATTTAGAAAAGGAACATCTGGCAATAGTCCCTGAAAGAGGATATGAAAATGTGGATAACCAAAGTCTTTTAGCATTGAAGTTCTTCCAGTGGTACAGAGAGGAAAACAACGTAGAAATTCAAACAGCACACTGGAAAGGTGAAAAGGTGATTGGAAAATATAAATTAGATGGGTGGATAGAAGAAGAACAGTTGGGAATAGAAGTTAATGGGTGCGCCTGGCATGGATGTAAAGATTGTTATCCACGTGACAACATGATTTTACCTAATGGTCTTACAGCAGGAAAGAAACGACAAAAGGATAAAGAAAGAATGGAATATATTTTGACCCATGTAAAAGAAGTTAAAGTTTTTTGGCAATGTGAAATAGAAAAGATGTTAAGAAGAGATAGGGATATGAAGAAGAAATTTGATAATTATTTGGATGAAGGTCCTTTGGAAATTAGAGATTGCTTTTTTGGAGGGCGCACAGGACCGTTGAAACTTTTCCATATGACCAAAGAAGGAGAAAAAATATCCTATTACGATGTAACTTCGCTTTACCCATTCACCAATTTTATTACAAACTACCCTATTGGACACCCTATTGTCCACAATTTAAATGAAGAAGTTAATTGGTCGTCATCATCAGACAACAAATTTCCTTTGGCACTTTTAAAAGTATTTGTAATTCCACCAAGAAATATTGATATTCCTATTCTTCCTGTGAAATTAGACGAAGAAAGACTACTTTTCCCGCTGTGTGCAAAATGTGCCAAAATGTACCCAAATGGAGGAAGAAATGAATTTTATAATTGTCAACATAGTGATAGACAACGAGGATGGGTCAGCACGTGCACATCCATTGAATTAAATGCAGCATTGGACGAAGGATATATTGTCACCAAAATATATCGTGTATTAGAATATAAACAGTCAGACAACGAGCTTTTCCGTCCATACATGCGGGAATTTCTTGCCCATAAAATCCACGCTTCCGGTTTTGATGAAAAGATAAGAGGAAATAGTGAAGAAGAAGAGAAATTTGTGAAAGAATGTTGGGAAATGTTTGGAATGAAGATAGAAAGGGAAAAGATGGTACCAAATAAAGGAAAGAGGGCAATTGCAAAACTGGCTGTAAATAACCTTTGGGGGCGTTTTTCACTAAGAAATCAGGGATTTACTCAAACTCACATCACCGACGATCTAGCTGAACTCGGGGAATACATTCACAACAATTCAATAGAAGTTGCAGCAATTGAAGAATTAAACAGTGAAACATTGATGATACGCTATTCAAAGAAGAAGGAATGGATAGAAGAACATGATAGCTCAAATGTGGTGATTTCGTTATGGACAACCTCCGCCGCACGCTTGCACCTCCTGAAGTTGATGCAAAAAGTGGTACGAACACCTGGGTGTTCACTACTTTACACTGGTATTTTTTCTTAATCTTTATTCAAAATTTATTTTTATTCTTCAGACACCGACTCTTTGATTTTCGCCTACCCCGAGGACAACAATCCACTAGAACTCGGGCCACATCTTGGCGACCTGACAGACGAATACCCACAGCACGAAATTCTTGAATATTGCAGTGGTGGCGCAAAACAATATGGATTGAAATTGAGAAGAAAGAATGGAAATGACGACTATGAATATGTTCTAAAGGTGAGGGGAATGACACTTAATTATGACGTTATGAATAACCAAAATCTAAGATATGAAACTTTTAAAGATACTGTTATTAATTTTGTTAAGAATGGTGATCGTGACCCTATATGTGTAATCTACCCCAACTTTTTACGCCCTTCTGTTGTAAATAGTTCTGTTACTTCACAACCCTTTCATAAAATGTATAAGCCTTTTGTCGGCAAGGGCATCATTCGCCCGAGCGATTTCTCTGTATTAAATTTTGGCTATGTATCACAATAATCTTTAATTTTTATATTGTATTCTCTATCTATTTTACCTTATATTGTCTCTATCTATTTTGAATTATATTTTTATTTACTATTTTTCTTAGCGATTTATTCTATTGTTTAACTTTATTTAAAAAATTTTTCGAATATTTCATAATATTTATTTATTTTTAAATAAAAATTTTACAAATGGAAAATACTTTTTTGAAAAAATTAAGGAATAGAAAATACTTTTTTGAAAAAATTAAGGAATGGAAAATACTTTTTTGAAAAAATTAAGGAATCGAAAATACCTATTTTAGGGGTAAAAACACATAATTAGTGAATAGAAGATACTATTTTGAAAAAATTAAGGATTAGAAGATACTATTTCGAAAAAATTAAGGAAGAGAAGATACTATTTTGAAAAAATTAAGAAATAGAAGATAAAAATTAAATTTAAGAAATCAAAATTAAGAAAAAGGAAATACTATTATGAAAAAATTAACAAGTGGAAGATATCAATTTTAGGGGTAAAAAAGCATAATTAGCGAAGAGAAGATACAATTTTGAAAAAATTAAGGAAAAGAAGATGAATTTTACTGTATTTTGTGTTTTTTAGTAAAAAATAGGCAAAAAGTGGTAAAAAATGCATAAATGCACGTGTTTTACATGCGCATGTTTTTTGTATGCGCGTGTTTTGCATGCGCGAACCTTGTGGATATAATCTAAGCCATTGATTAATACTAGTCTTATCCGAGTTGAAATCGAGAAGAAAAATGGAAACCAGCAAGAAGTATAAATTTTAACCATACCTAAACTTAACCATATATATTTAAAAAATTTATAAGTATAGAACCTATTTTTGTATACTATTTACACCGCATTTAAGGAAAATATAAATAATAATAAAAAAATATATATAATAATACCTTATGACTTTTCATAAAAATATAAACTTCAAGTTGGCAAGGTATCTTACACCTATAGATTAATTACCTAACTCTTGATTAGCTAACTTAGTTAACAATGTTGCCTTAATTATGTTATTGTATCATTACACGTTAGTCCAATAAATCTTCAAAATTTCATAATATTTATTTATTTTTAAATAAAAATTAACAATTGGAAAATACTTTTTTGAAAAAATTAAGGAATGGAAAATACTTTTTTGAAAAAATTAAGGAATGGAAGCTATCGATTTTAGGGGTAAAAACACATAATTAGTGAATAGAAGATACAATTTTAAAAAAATTAGTGATTAGAAGATACTATTTTGAAAAAATTAAGGAAAAGAAGATACAAATTTAATTTTAGAAAGCAAAATTAAGAAAAGGGAAATACTATTTTGAAAAAATTAACAATTGGAAGATATCGATTTTAGGGGTAAAAAAGCATAATTAGTGGATAGAAGATACAATTTTGAAAAAATTAAAGAAAAAAAGATAAAATTTAATGTTTTTTGGTGTTTTTTAGTAAAAAATAGACAAAAAAGTGGTAAAAATGTATATATGCGCGTGTATATTGTATGCGCGTGTATTTCCTACGTGTATAAAATCACCATCCTTGCATGTATTCAAAATCATCTACCGATTGACTAAATTTTCTTCCTTCATAACAAAGATTATCATCGTAGTCGGAAAGAGGTACAGGTGATGTTACATCAAAATCTTTTTCAGATTGTTGTGAAGTTGACTGAGTTGTTTTATCAATAAAAATATTTGCCATCCAGCCTGATAATGGTTCTTCCTCCGCTAATTCTAATAATTCCAAAGG